TATCTTGGAAAGACGTCTTTCCAAGATAACGTGTCTTGGAATTCCGTCTTTCCAAGATAATTTATCTTGGAATTCCGTCTTTCCAAGATACGTTATCTTGGAATTCCGTCTTTCCAAGATACGTTATCTTTGAATTCCATCTTTCTAAGATATTTATCTTGGAATTCCGTCTTTCCAAGATCAATTATCTTGGAATTCCGTCTTTCCAAGATACGTTATCTTCGAATTCCGTCTTTCCAAAATACGTTATCTCGGAAAGACGTCTTTCCGAGATAAATTATCTCGGAAAGACGTCTTAATAAGTGTTTATTCCATGTTTCCAAGATACTTGGAATTGGAAACTCTGAAACTCGGAAGGTCACTTTAAGCTTCCGTACTTCAGAACATCGGCTCACTGCACACTTTAACACAGTAAATGAGTTAAAACCGGACCCCCTTTTCTCACAAAATGGGCTATATAATTTGAATGGTTTCAGTTGGCAATCAGATTATGAAACTAGGTTTTAAGCTTTATAATCATCTATATATTTTTACAATTAATGCAAAATTGAGTGATCATGTTTCTTTCAAAATTGACTATCTCTTATGCTTTTGCATAGGAAAAGGGTTAAAATTAGAGTGTTTTTTGGTATTCCTGCTTCTTTTTACCATAACTCTGCAACGACAATTCGCTAAACTTCGGGGTGAACGGTCAATTGTAACTCATAAATTAAGCTTTCTTTTACCATGTAAGTCCCATGATGGTTGCTTAAATAACCATTAATCATTTTTTCTTTACAATTTTGTATTCAGAACTGTTTTTACCCTTTCTATGAATGACATCACGCGCTTAAGGCCAATAGCAGCTACGAATTTCGAGTTTTTTGGGGGTTGGTGCGTTCGTGCATAAGATGTAGGTCAAATTTACCTGAATGAGCTTTTGTCGCAAATAGAGGAAAAGTTTTCATTATGATTTCTAGTGAGTAATGTTTGGACCAATTGCATAAGACAGACTCCTACCAAACATGGGGTGTTCACACAGGTTGAGCTTAAGGGTCACAGTGGTTATCTCTTAAAAAATGACTGGGTTCATGTTCTATTGAACATAGTATTTCTCTAGTTATTATTATTATTATTGTTATATTTTTATTGTAATATTAATTATATAATAAATATAATAATATAATAATAATAATAATAATAATAATAATTAAAAATAATAATAGAGCCTAATATAAATTCGAAATAGAAACAAACAATAATAGTAATAAACTATAACTAATAGGACCTATTAAATAATTATTATTGTAAAAAATATCGTTATCAGTATTTTATATATACCATACACACATACATTTGAGGGGGTTGCACGCACCTCCAAAAAATACTTACTCAATTAGTTTAAAATTACCTAAAATTTCCTTATTTTGCGAGGAGCCCCCCTCACCTAATCATCGATCCCCCTCATGCGACCTTCGCACTCAGGGGGAGCTCACCCCCTCCTACTGTAATAATAATAATAATGATAATAATAATAAGAGTACGTTTTTGTATAATTTTTATATTAAATAATAATAATAATAATAATAATAATTAGAATAATAATTAGAATAATAATAATAATTAGAATAATAATAATAATAATAATAATAATAATAATAATAATAATAATAATAATAATAATAATAACAATAATACACAGACAGACGTTTTGCCGACAGACCTGGGCCGAATGCACTTTTGAGTGTACCGGTCTTTTGCCGATGATAGGACATTTTGCCAACAGACTGTTTCGTCGACAGCCATTGCGCCGAAAGTAAGTTCGCCGATAGCCCTTCGCTCGAAGCCAATTCGGCGACAAATTCGCCGCCAGCTAATTTGCCAATAATTGAAAAAAATATTATGACAACATTTTGACGTACAGTTTCCCTACGTCGACGGACCATATTGGAAGTTGTTGCAGCCCTAATAATAAACATAATATAGGCCTAGTAATACAAAATTTACCTAATTACTTGGTAATGGGCCTATTATTATTTTTTTGTATATACCGGTACTGTTCGCATTAATTGTTGTTGTGAATGCTGCTGTCGGAGAAAAGTCTATCGACAGAAGTAATTTCAGTCAGTCAAAAAATACGAAAATGATTTACAATTTCAAAAACTACAATTAGGGGCTATTATAACATAATGTTGGTGAATGTGCCGTCGCGAACTGTCGGCGAATTGATTGTCTGCAAACGAGGGCCTACTCGGCGGATTGACTGTCAGCAAAGTGTCCTCAACAAACAAAGTCGGTGAAATTCCATATATGGCCCGGAATTGCATGCCGGTGAAAAGTCTGTCGCATTCGGCGAAACACACTGTGGCGAATTTTGTTTATTGAAACCGTGAGTAGGCTATCGCAACCTCATAGTAAAAACAGGGAAATGTTTAGTAAAACCTCGAATAGGACACATGGGCGTCTTTTCGAGATTACTTTTGAAAACTAAAGACGGCGGTGGGAAGTGCTTCTTTTCAAAGTGAATGCTGTAAATATCATAATTGTTATAGGCCTACTATAAAACCTGAACATCTCTCCTCCATAGAATTCGAAATTCTGCTCATTTTTAATACAAAAAACATTTTTTTTTAAATTATAAATTAAAAAATAGGCCTATGTGAAAGACAATCTGTTGCACAAATTAGGCCCTACATGATATAAAATGTAACAAGAACCATTTAATATAATTTATACTATAAAGTAACAAATGATAGGCCTATAATTTATTAAACGTAGGTACATTTGTAATGTATTAATTATGTTATCGCATTCATAGCAGGATCCCGAGCAACCCTGCAAAAAAGATACTTTCTCATTAAACGGTGTTTCTAGTACAACCACAAAATCCTGTTGACAAAACCCAATACTGTTTCGAGGAATTTAGTTTATGCAAGATCACAAAGTTGTATTGATACGTTATGGCCTAATCAGAAGCAACATTGAGTCTGCATTATTAACAGATTTTAGGCCTATAAACTGTAAACGAAGTGTTTAATTGTTTATTCCGTTTCTTCGACATTCATTGGCTCGAAAAAAGCCCATCTTGAGAAGCAGTGGCGGCGCCACCGTCTGAAATCTTGGGGGTGGGGGATGGCAAGTGAGGGGAAAGTTAACATTTTAGGGGGGGGGGGATATGTTTTCCTAGTAGACAGGAAATACAATTATAATTTATAAATTCACAACATTAACGGAACGGTTCTAATGGGAATTGTTATCTTTATTTAATTAAGTGATCAGTAAATTATACAAATGTAAAAAAAAAGTTAGTTAAATGCATTGTTTTTAAGTGGCCAATGACCTTGAAGAGTACTGAGACAGACCAATAGAAGCAATTAATTTTGTTGGCCAATCTTACAATGCTAATTTTTTTTTCCGGTAAACTGGTGGCGCCATGTCATGGGTTTTTTTTAATTAATGGCTTTCCGGTTTTACCAGTGGTTTCAGGCTCGTGGTTTTAGTGTTTAGCGGAGGTTTGATTGTGCTTCAACGTATGAGAGCGCTATTTACCAAAATAAGTACACGTTGACCGCCATACGATACCGCCAGGATACTAAACTAAGTCTGCAGTTTGTAGCCTTTGCTTAGTAACTAGAGAAAGATTCGGAGTTCCCATCATGCATTCAGTAGGATAACGTTCTGTTTAGAACTGGTGAGTCAATGAATTATAAAACTCATTTGTTACACTAATTAATATTATTGAATAAAAGCATAGGTCTTGTCTAGCCTGGCTAGGCCTAGGCCTAGGCCTAGTAGTCCTACTTAGCTACGAATACGCACTACAATTAACAGGCTAGGCCTACCCTAGGCCTCATCCTAGGCTGGAATCTAGGAAGGAGACTATTTATGCAGCTGGTGGCGCTAATGAACTTTAGTACCCCACCCTAACCTTAACGTCAACTGCAGTCTTTCTATGACTTATGTTTAATTGTTAAGACCCTAACCTTAACGTCAACTGCAGTCTTTCTATGACTTATGTTTAATTGTTAAGGTTAGGGAGGGTTAGAGTGGAGTACTAAAGTCTAAAGTGCATTATTAGCGACCACCTCATCCTTAATTATGCTAGCTTTGATAGGCTACTAGCTTGAGCCCTAGTAATTTAACTGTTCCCTGATAATATTACTACAATCTAGCCAAGGCCCCTTCAATCACTGAATCAGGCCAGCCTACTTAATATTAGGTTTCATAGTGAACGTTGGTACCGTAATTCCAACTGCAGTGTATCACGATTAAATTTTAAAAACCACTCACCAAAAGACTTTTTATTACACCTGTTCATTCAAAATAAACATTTTGTGTGTTACTGTTAGAAAAAGGGAGTGTGGGGTGACTTAATTTCACACAAGTGATAGCAACACTGGTTTGTAGGGGCTTAATGATAGCCCTAATAGCAAACTTTAAGTGTAGGTTTTATGTGTATGCATTTTTAGTTGGTTTTTTTTTTTTTTTGGAAATAATAAGATTAATTTCGGGTCAACCTAAGCTGTCTTGTTTTTAAAATCATTTATTTCGATTCCAGACCTGCCAACTCACCCGGTGCTGTCGGGTGTCACCCGATATCTAAACAAATCTCCAGTTCTCTCGATCGAATGTAATTTTCACCCGATTTCACTGATTTTACAGGTTCCCTCCGCAAAATATTACGATTTATGCATAAATGATTGATTAGATCATTATTATTCAATGTATTCGCCGTGATAGACAAGCAGCAATTTAATAAGTTGTTTTGCAGTAATTTTGTCCCATTGATTTTATTACCACTATGGTTTGTTTTGATGTGTCTGTTTTAGTAAATTGCATCATCTTTTGGTTAATTCTGGAAACTTTTTGGTAAATCTCCAGATTTTTTTTAAGATTAAAAAAAAAAATCTCCAGATTTTCATGGCCCAGAGGTTGGCAAGTCTGAGATTTTGTTGTTGAAATTTAACTCTTGTAAATATGACTGAACTTATATATTTATTTCATTTTATGGCGCTTTAAGTATCAAAGCACCTTGCATTACAGTAATCAAGAAACAAACGACATTGAAACACCACAAATGCAGACAGCAAAAAACACTGAGATATCAGGGGCATGTAGGCTGGTTTTGGCCTGGGGTGCGAAAAATGAGCATGTGAAACAAAATCTCAGAATGCGGAACTAAATCACTATTCCATTTTAAATATTTTAACCCACTTAGTGGAACTAATTTGCTGCCATGGGGGAGGGGGAGCACACCTGCATCCCCCAGCCTAGCCCATAGATATGCAGTAATGAACTGTTGGCACCTTGGTGTTCAATGCACTTTACATATAAGAAGGTTTTTTTTGTGGATAAAAAAAAAACATTCTTTGATCAATTTTTTAAAGAAAATATAAAAACTCTTAAAAAACAATTTTCAAATGAGATGTTAGAATACCCGTTGCTTCTTAATTTAGTTTCATTATATATTTTTGTACTCTGGAAATTTATCATTTGACTAGAGTTCAGAGTGGACCACCAATGGTGCTGGCTTTCCCTTGACTGTTTCAAGCTCTCAAATTTTCTGTGACTAAAAACTGTCATAACTCATACAATAGTCATGATGTGCCCATATTTAAGCATTTCATATGTTTTTGTCCAATGAAATTTTGTAGTTGGGACGGCACTTTATTCTGCATCTGCACATTGTACATTTGTTCCATTCGTTTGTCAAATGAATAATAAGTGCATAAATTACTTAAAATAACATAAATAAAAAAAATAAAAAACACTGAAAATATTTTTCTGATCTATGAAGCAATTTTACTTTCTGTCAATAACAAAAAAAAATGTTATTAATTTTATTATATAACAAATATTCAGTGTTTCAGTTGATAATAGGGGTCAAAATGACCCAATTTCAACGAGGCCAAGGTGATGCTGCGACATCATGGTACCAGGGAAGAGAGAACAGGGATCACAGAGTTAACCATGTAACCAGGACACCACGTACTCGAAACCGTTCTACATCCGATGATGTCCCTGAGTCACCTCGAACGGAGAATAATTTCCAGGCCTCATCTCAATATCCATACAGCGACACACCATTGACTGCTGTCAAGCAAGAGATGGCTGTAGGTTTGCAAATAGAATCACAAAAACATGTAGAGTTCAGTAAAGGTGACATTTCATCAGTTCAATCACATTCCATGGCTATAGAGGGCACCCTTCATCGTAATAAGGACAACTTAATGACAATGACGGCACTAGGCTACCTAGTTTGCTGGTATATCTTCAGCTTTTGTACACTTTTCTTGAATAAATACATCTTGTCCACTTTGGGAGGAGAACCCAAAATGCTTGGTAAGTACTTTACTCTATTTTTTTTTGTTTTTTACTTTTGAACTCTGAACCTGTAACCATTTTATTCATGTTAAAAATGTAATAATCAAGAGCTGTCCATCTGTTACTGAATAAACTCTTCCTCCTCCTCCTCCTCCTCCTCATCATCATCATCTTTATCCTCATCAACACATCATCACCATGGAGATGATTATCTTGGTGGTTAAGATGCTTGCCTTCCCATCCCAGTGTTCAATTCCTGTCATGACAACAGGGTTTTTTCTCACAACCAAAACAACTCCACTCCCTAAGCCTCAAAATAAAACTTAATTTTTGTAGAGCATCTTATTTTATTTTTGTCTTGTGAACGTATTGTCCTTAGTAAAGTAATTAGTTCGCTGTTGGCCTATTCTATGTCCTGAGCCTAAAAATAGAATAAAATAACATCATCATCATAATCATCATCATAATAATCGTCATCATCATCAACATCGTTGTCGTCACTGTCTCTGCTGCTGCCACCGCCAATCAGATCACTAATATCGACTAAAACCGCAATTTTAATCCAAAAAAATGTGCTGGCTTCAAATGACTTCATTTCCAATGTTGGGCAATGGATCCCCTAAACATGAGCTTCTGCGATGTTGCCCTGTCATTGAGAAAATTCTCACATTGCTACTTTTCAGAATATAGGTGTCCCAAATGAGGGGTTCTACCGTACTTTAAAAGTGTGTTGTCTCCCATATTATATTCTCATTACACAAATAATTGGAAAACTCAGTTTCGGTCACAAGGATTATTAAATATGCCGATGACACAGCTATTAATTGTAAGTTATCTAAATGCTAACAATTCCTCTGTTATTTATAGAGTTCAATGAAGATATTGAAATTTCAACATGTGACTATTGAATAAATTATATAGATTTAAATGTCAGCAAAATAAAAGAGAAGTTAATCAATTTTTCTGTTAAATATATCGGACTAAGTGTGCTCCAGTTGAATTTAATAGTATACTTAAAATGGAAAAGGTTGATCATTATACATATCATGTAGGCATTGTTTTATTTTTAGGCAACCAGTTGAAATTACACAAACAAGCGGAATATGATAAAAAATTAATCTCTAGACAAGCCAGTAAGATTATAGGTCGACAAGTTTCATCACTACATATTATGTATAAGGATGTTATTGTTAATAAATTTTGTAATATCCATAAAAATGGAACTCGTCCTTTGTTTTTAAGCTCCAGATTACTTTGTAAGAGAGAGCCAAATATTAAGCATTACAGAAAATCCTTTAATCCAACAGCAGTCAGATTGTTCATGAAACCATTTAGATAACTAAGAGCAGCCACTCTGTAGAGTGCATACCTCAAACCCTGTGCCTGAATACATAACAACTGCAGCATACCCATAGTGAAATAGTGTAATCGTCCTTCGTAAATATTCGGTAGAAATAAATATAAAAAAAATAAAGGTCCTGATAGTATGATCACTCACACAAAGATCATACAAAATCTGGTTTAATTTTAAACATTTTTTAAAAACTTAATTCTTAAATAGTTTACGCAATTGTGTTTCATTGTTGTTAAAAATTGGTAAAAGCGGTTCTTGATAATTATTTGACATGTTTTTAATTTTTAACTATTTTATTTATATTTTATTTATTTTATAATTTTTTTTTTCTACGGCCTTCTATGGGCAGTAGACACTCTGAACTCAGTTTGTCAATCTGGAAGCATAAAGTTTGACTATGAAGTTGACATTACGTAACTGTTTGGGAGAATTTGCTCTGCAATGTCAAGTTCTGTGTAGGTAGGCCTAGATGTTTGATTTCGCTAAATTTGACAATTGTATGCCTAGGTAGTAAAGCTATGAGCTACTGATTTTAAATGTGTTACTTATAGTACAGTATGCCTGGTGTTAGGCCAAGCAAAGATACTAGAAATACAAAGATAGAGTTCTCCACACAAAAAAAGTGTTCCACCGAAATGCATGGTGGGAATACAAATAATGGGACGCCCCCTACAGCTGGATCTAAAAAAACTTGTGCCAAACTTTCGTTACCAAGTCGTCGCGTATTTTATTATCAATTCTCAATTATTATTTACTAGATATAAAAACAAACTAGAATAGACACCCAGACAGTGACATCGGTGAATACATAACCTCCTTTTTGGCAGTAGAAATCGCTGCTATTATCCAAATAAAGCACAAAACAATTAAAGCATAATCATGAATCAGTAAAGAATAAAACAACAATACAGCGCAGAATCGTATGGCCGGACGCACTCTTAGTGAAAAAGTTTTCCTCCATTGGTGGAAAAGGAAGTGCGCCTTTTGCGTCTGGATATACTTAGCAACAGAAGGGCGCCTTGTACGTTGGGCACGAAGTATAGAAAACTTGCATGGTTAAAAAGAAGGGCGCCGCCTACGTTGGGCACGACTTCCGCCTCATTTTTACAATGCGAGAACTCTATCTTGTATTTCTAGTATCTAAGGTAGATGGAAATTTGGTTTGACATTTAATTTTGGGTCTGTTTTGTCCGTCAAGTTTCAGTTTACATTACTTCAGTATAGGTTAGCCTATGCTGGTATCTGTCATTGGCCCGACGGTCATTCATACAGTACGTAGTCGACTCGTAGCAGCCCTAGCTAGTATAGCTAGGCTAGGTCATCCACAGAGACTAGTAGGCTAGGGCCTACTAATTATGAGGGGTGGTGCCAGAATTTGCCCGACGGGGAGTCCGATGTCTCTGACAAGAGCAAAGCCCCCCTTGAATGTTGAATGAGTTAAAAGATAATAAGTGTAGTAAAAAAAAAAAGCATGTCAAGCGGTAGACATATGCTTCCGCTGGGAACCTAATTGTTTATTTCATGCAATGACCAACTGAAATTCCTCTTTGGATAATAAAGTATTTTTAATAATCTGCAAGGAATTTCCTGATGTTAGTTAGCCAGATTATCGTACATTTAAGTAAAGGAAACTAGTAATATTTTTTTTATTTGGCCTAAAAATATTTAAATCTATGTAAAAAAATATTAAAATACATACCAGTAGGCATAAAAAAAGTGCAATACTGTACATTAAACACAAATAATTTTATGCAATACATTAAACACAAACAACTAAAATTAGAGATACCATATTGCAAGGTTATAAAAAAAAAACATTCTAAATACATTGCCGTTTTAACATGATGTCAAAGGATTTTGCTTTAAAACCTTATTCCACTTGAGGCATAATACAAAAATGTACAATACTAATACACACAAATAATATGAGGAATTTAACTAAAATTTGAGATGCAAGGTTATAAAACAAAAAAATTCTAAATACGTTTCCACTTTAACATGATGTTTACGGATTTCGCTTTAAAACCTAAAATTCACTTGAAGTAGGTCATAGCTTTTGAGGTCGTGAGAGACAGTGGAAAGCCATGACTAGGACATATAGGACATTTTGTACAAATCTGTAACATACTGCAGCCAGATCAAGAAAGTCAAGGGCAAATTCCATATTGACACATCTTGAATCCATATTGAAAAGTTATCAATACTGTATCAACAAAGGTCATTTAAATATAGGAGATATTATATTTTGATGTTTCGATTTTGATTTAGCAGAGAAAGAGCGAGGAATTATTGCTTCAGATTACTGTTTAAAAAGCCTGGTACCGGTAATTTGAGAAATTTCTGAAAATGTCTCAAATTAAGTTATGATCATTCATTTGCTCACATATCATGGTATCGTTGGCTTAAACTACATAGAGTTTGAATCAATTACAGTTATACCTTGCACACATGCATTTTCTAATTGTCAATAAACATTGGACTTATTTTTTCCTCTTGCTTATAATTATTCTTGCGTTACTTTCAAACTTGACATGTTTTTTTTTTACTACACTTATAACTCATCCAACATTCAAGGGGGCTTTGCTCTTGTCGGAGACATCAGACTCCCTGTCGGGCAATTTCTGGCACCACCCCTCATAATTAGTAGGCCCTAGCCTACTAGTCTCTGCGGATGACCTAGCCTAGCTATACTAGCTAGGGCTGCTATGAGTCGACTACGTACTGTATGAATGACCGTCGGGCTAATGACAGATACCAGCATAGGCTAACCTATACTGAAGTAATGTAAACTGAGACTTGACGGAAAAAACAGACCGAAAATGAAATATCAAAAGAAATTTCCATCTACCTTAATAATACCAGGCATACTGTAATATAAGTAACACATTAAAATCAGTAACTCGCAGCTAGCCTACCTACACAGAACTTATGGTACATATGATATGAATCATGTATAGTGCTTCTTTTATTCTTTCACTGTGTCTACTAGGAGATATAATCCTAGTTATATCTCCTGCCTGTTGATTTTCTTAACCTCTACCTATTCTCTCCGTTCTGTTTCCGGTTCCTGTTTATCTGTTCCCAAATCCAACAAACTTGCTGGTGATAAATCTTTCTCTTCCTCTGCTCCAAAACTGTGGAATAATCTTCCTATTTCCATCCGAAATGCTTGTAGTACTGAAGTCTTCAAAAAACTCTTAAAAGCCCATTTATTTCCTAAATAATCCTCTTCCTACAATAAACCTTTTCTAAGCGCCTTGTATCCTTTGGCAAAAGGCACTATATAAATTTCTATATTATTATATTATTATTGGTATAATTAAGGAAATAGTACCTGTTTCCCATTGACCATCTTGGGTGTGCCATACCTCAGAGTAAAAGAAAAAGAAAATAAAAGCGCCCTCATTCTCCTTTTGTCAAAATATTACCTCGAGAAACTACTTTTTTAGTTCCTATGCATGTAATGCAATAGGAACTATTGTAATCACTCTTGCTATTTCCTATGTTTTTTATTGTGTGTAGTGTGTATGTGTGTGTGTAGACATTTATGCAAATGCGCATGCGT